AACTACAAATACATTTGTTTGCATGAGATATTACTTAGTAATAACAGAATCAGTGTATTCATAGTGTGTGTTAACATGTAGAATTATCTTTCATAACTTCATGTTGTGCTAGTTCTTACATGTGCTTTATTTTTTCAGGTATACGGAACCTGTCGAATATGAAATGAGCGGAAATACCATTCGGTCAAACTAACGCTAATACCCTTCATCAGAATTTTCTTTTGTGAATTATTGAAATGTTTAATATACTCTTGATTTCTACTTCCTCTCGACTTTTTCAGTACGTCGCTATACTATGTGCTTATGTAATAAGTAAATTCAGATTAATGCATGTTAAGCTTAGTTTGTGGGTTAGAGATTTACTGTAGCATTACGAAACTGTTACTTCAGTCATTCGTAAGATTTCGCGTCTGTTTCTATACAATAGCACATTGTAAAAACTAAGTTGAATAATTATTCTGTATTGTTCGATACGCTAAAGTCGCACTATCTAGCCAGTTGCAAGTCTGTATACTGTTAAACGCCAAGTCTGTAGTACAAGTAAATGTAGTAAATTAGGCTTGATAGCTGCTTCACTAATCTGTTAATATGCAGTGACATCATCAAATAGACTGTTCACTTCACAGTAGAAAAAGAAACAATCTTTATTTATTTCTTATATGCCGTTGAATCTACTGATGTTATCTGATATCTGTGCGTCGTGGACAGTGGTAGGACTCTCGCCGACCATGCACATGTTCCGAGGTTCGAGCCCCTGCCGGCGCACACTCGATATCTAGTCTATCCTACGTGTCAAGCTGACAAAAATCGTTTCTATGATCAACACCTGCGGTATTTGCATATCTACTTTATGGATATTAAATAACTTACGGCTTTAAGCATCTAAATACCTCCAGTATTCGCTATTCATTTGATGTGTGTACACTAAACAAGTCTTTCATACATTCTCCCACAAATGCCAAGCTTTCTAGTGTCACAACTGTTAATGAAACCAGCATTCCTGGTTTCAATACAAATGACGTTCTAAAATATCCCCAGTCGCTGAATTCTTCTTGTTGTCAGCCGTTTGGAAGGACATTAAAATTGCACCTATTCCTAAGTCGTCTACTGCGACATGTTTTAAATTTAGACCCATTGCTATTACTTCCCCTTTTCTGAAAGCTATGGAAAAGTTGCTCTTACTTAATCTTCAACCTTCACTTAGAGCCTTTAACGATCCCAAACAATTCGCCTACAAACACAGCAGAAGTACTTTAGATGCAGCTGTAGTCTTGTATCATAACATTGTCTCCAGCTTAGACAAGGGGGCTAAATTTGTTCGCTGCACCTTTCTAGATTATACATTTGCTTTCGACTCAGTATCTAGGGACATTTTACTAAATAAGCTTGCTGAAACTCAAACTGACTGTTGGGTTGTCAAATGGCTACATTCTTATTTCTCAGGAAGAAAGCAATACACTGTATGTCAGAGAAAGTCGTCCACCACCACTGTGCTAAGATGAACAACTCTCTATCAGGAGTCAGAAAATGCTTTTAAACTGAATCGTTCCAAATATAAGACTGTTAATTTCACTTTCTGATGTAAAAGAAAGTTAGATTAGGCTGTTAATTCCTATGACCTCTGCAAAATTGATGATAGTGGTACAGAAAACAAGTCTGACGTTAAGTATCTCGGACCAATTCATCATGCAGCGTATTGGCCTTAAATGTATACCACACGCATACATAATGTTTATGAGCTACGTATGCAAATCAAGGCAAACGCTTGTACGGTACACTCATTATTTAAAAACTCACTCATATGTGAGAACCACGATTTGACCAACTTTACAAAATTTAATATATTTAGACACATAAACATACACTGCTTACTTCTATTAGGCATTACCTAAAGCTACCTTAAAATAGTTCCCCCTGAAGGTAATGTCCTGTTGCTACTACCGTAGTGAGCAAATCAACGCTATCTTTGAATTACAAAGTAAAAGCGTACATCCTGGGAACTTTCTGGATAAAAAGATCGTCTCCTAGTCGAAAAAATAAATATATCCTAATCTCCACCAAAGCGTTTAGAGGTATTTATCCTATCGCCTCAAATGACTCACTATTTGCTGTCATTTAAAAAGTAAAAACAAATTTATCGAAGGCAGTGTGCTTATGGTTTCTAGACATCATAATGCACCATGAGGAAAAAGCTTTCTCCATAGGGTTATAGCAATTAGATGCGCGATATAAATCCGAAAAACAACGACTACGATTTTCAATCACAGAACATTCTACTTTGGCGCCTAATCGTCTCAATAGATGCTTCGCAAAGAAAAAGAAGACCATTGGTTCAAGGAAAATTTATTTAAAGTTTTCTTATAAATCACGGGCAACCGTGTTTATAGCCACGGAGAAATCACAAGCATCCGAAAAATTGGGATTTCATTATTTGAACTGAGACAAGCAATTTGTAACCAGCCAATTTTTTCACCCCGAATAATAATCAGCTTCTCAACTTGTTGTAACTTCGAAAAGCCACCGATTGTAGACCAAAATCCGAAACGTTATTCTTGCTAGTTAAATTCTTACCGAACACTCACCAGATCATCGTATGTTATCCGCTTTTCAAATCGTTTTGAAACAAATAAAATGGTTGTTAACACCGCGTTCACCACAGACACTCCTGGTTCGTGCGTTTGGATCTAGTACACTAGGTATTAACAATCATTTAGGGATTTCCTATTGCTTCCTGATTTTGCTTCCAAAAGTATATACAAACAGCACACGTTCATACTTCGCATTTGGCTCATCCTTGCTTGATTTTGATTCTCACAATATATCTGATTTTTTAGCTGACAACAGACACCTTGTCGAAAAGCTTCAAACCAGGTTCTAAATTCTCTAGGTTTAATTAGTTCTTCGAAAACATCGCTAATATCAATCCTGATCGTGCTCTTTTCACCAGATTCACTCGTAGATTGTTGCATGCTGTAAACATGAATGTGACAGACATTGTTTTTTCCAGATTTCTACATGTTAAGTAAGCAACTGAGCCAGCAACAATAACGGCAACCAACGAATGAACTGGAAACAACTGCTTCTGCCAACCAAACATGTTCATGTGCATAATTTCCAAAACTTCTACACAGTACTAATGCACTAATAGTGGAAAGACAACTAAAACCCTGAAACCATGTATGAATGCAACCTATGAAACAATTACAATGAAATGAATGCACTGATCTGGTGGTAAAAACTTTCGAAACAAACAAAATAACTAATTTTAACAGAAACGGAAACAAAAATGAAGTGAAACGCAACATTTGTGAACAATGTGCATCAAGATAAGTTGTGAATAACTGCTGGATAAACAGAAAAACCAATGTGCAAACGAACAGCTACGGAACTGCAATCCAACATGGCCGACGAACATGGGCGAAAATGACTTTTGAGCGCCTCACTCCACCAGTGACCTTGGATGTGACAGAAAATTTCAGTCCCAAATTGGATGGGGAAGTTCCAGAATAATTTCCAGTTAGATGGCGTAGCAATGGGCTCTCCACTCGGACCACTCCTAGCCGACTGTTTTATGGCCACCCTCGAAAACAACCCCTTATCATCAACCATCGACGACCTTCATCTATGCAAGAGATACATCGATGATACTTTCATCATTTGTGATGAGAAGCTGAACCTTGAAAACTTACTTCAAATCTTCAACATTGTCCACCCAAACATCGACTTTACACTTGAGACTGAATCCGATGGAATGTTCCACTTCCTGGACGTTCATCTGACAAGAAACGACAACAACTCTTTGAAAAGGTCCATCTACAAAAAGCCTACATGGAATGGAAAATTCATCAACTTTCAAAGCTTCGTGCCCCTAAGCAGAAAGAGGAAACTGATATACGCTCTTTCCTCGAGGATTCGGAAGATATGCAGCGAAGAAGTGATTGACGAAAAACTGCGTAATCTCCGAAAAACCCTGATGGAAAACGGTTTCCCGCCTAGGTTCATAGACAAGAATTTCAAATCAAAGAAGACTTCCGAACAAGTCCAATCCGTTCCCAAGGAAATACTTCTGCTCAATCTAGAATTCAAAGGTGATATTGAAGCAGAAATCCTTCGCAAACGCCTCTCTAAATTCTTGAGGAAAACATACTTCGCCGGGAGCCTATGACTGATGTTTTCTTGCAAGAAACTGTTCAGCCAGAACGCGAAAGACAAGCTTTCGCATTGGGCCACCTCAACGTGCATATACCAGTTTACTTGTTCTTGTGGAGCTGAGTACATCGGCCGTACCATGCACCGACTTGGAAAACGTACTCGCGAACACTATCCAGCCTGGTTAGTAAAAGGAGACCAAAACGTGTATAAAGTTCAGTGACAGAACATCTGGTCAACTCAGGACATTCAGCGCATTTCGAAGTAATATTCAAAGTTCAATCAAACCTATCAAAGGGAGTCAAATCAAGACATCTGGGCATAGCTGAGGCGTTAGCTGTCCAAAAACTCAAACCCACGCTTCGTATCCAAAAGAAATACGTCCAACGCCTGCCCCTGCTATGGGCATCATAAACAGGTAAATCGTTTTTAGTAATGACGATCTCATCGCCTGGCTTATCTAACCTTCCTGTTTATTCATGTTATCTTAAGTTTTCTTAATCCCTGTCTACACTACCATATTTTCATATCCACTCTTCCTGTTTATTTTGTCATTTTACTATTCCTACGTATTTAATCCCTGATTTCATAAACAGTTATTGATCACATTAGCTTTTTATCCAAACATCCTGTCTCTTTTCTTATTTCTATATTTCTAACCCCCAATTGCACAGTGTCAGTCTTCTTAGTTAATATGCTCCTTTGTTTGAGTTTTAACCTTCTCCCTGTTTATTATGGCATTCGAATTCCTAATTGTAATTTTTATTAATTTGACTCGTAATCCTAAATTGGACAACAAACAAATTGGATGTTTGGAATCGGAAAAGATAAGCGCAAAATCAAAAAGTGACCTTGATCCTCCGAATGGTCTTCAGACGAGATATCAAATACCAGATTGCGAAGAAAATCTTGGAAAATGTTCCCAATGACCATTTTCTGCCATCCCCTTATCAGGTACGTACAACTGTTCTTTTAATTTTCCCAAGCTTATTACAATAAGTACCGTGAAAAGACATTTACATGCTTGTTTCTTATTCGAAGCAGTCTCCTCAGTGAAAATAGAAATATTTGCTTTTATATGTTTTGTTATTCGTAATGTCAAGTAACGTGAATATTGGGAATAATCCGGAGAGAATTGACACCTTTCAATTCCTAAAAGAAATTCACTTACTTAAAATACTTATATGTATTTAAAGCTATGCATCTAAGAGTTCCGCGTGATTATCTATTTAAAATGGTGTCGTTCATCCATACGTTTCCTCACACCAGGTGTATATGTAAATTAAATCACTTGACCGACTACATTACAAACACATGTGAGTACCATGACTCGATGATCAGACTCTTCCTCTGAGATATGAAAGTCATGTCTGCTACTCTTTTTTTAAAAAGTCTGTGAATGATCATTCTCTAATATGCCTGAAGATTTACAAATGAAATGCTCATAACTCAGGGATCCCATGTAGTGCTATCTCTTATCATTCAAGTCGTTACTTTTACTGCAGCATGATAATTTGCATGAGTTCACTAAACCCTCAGCCTTTTTGGGGTACCTCGCTAATCCGTTTTCCCCCATCATGTCTCTCGTAGAATGTTATTTTTTTCGTAGTGAGAAAGGTGTATCTTTCATTTATATTCACTCCCCTTGAAGTTGTGCCCCGCCGGCATTATCACCTACAGTTCTGCGTTCTTTACTGGTTTTACTGTGCATTTTTGATACCTCGAGTAACATTTTACTCACACAGGCATACAAATCTGAAATACTATATCATTGTCCAATGTTAATCTTAACAAACCGAAATTGTAAATGCCTTTAAGGGATTACAGTACTTTATTTTATTTCTTCAAGTTCTACACTTATGAATCTTCATGTAATGTAAATGTATTACCAATTTAAAAATTCGTATAATTGTGGTTACTAGTTTCGAAACCCAACACTCTAGATACAAAACTTATCGTTCGCAATGAACCTTCACAAATATTTTCTAGTATTTTTCTGCAATTAACAGTTTAAAATTCATATAAAATATGCTTATACGACATATAGTTGCTCCGTTGATTTCAGAGTAAATAATGACAGTTTGCCAAAATGCATAGATAAATTTAGTTTTCCTATATAAGTTTAGTTGCTTATATAGTTACTTTCATGCCTGCTGATATAACCTAAGATTTCACTTTTTTGCAACACAATTTGTTTTGTTCACCTTACAGTTAGATCTTCTGGATGCTGCCTACGAAAGAAATACGATTATATGCTCATCAAATGAGTTGAATAAAATGTTTTTTGTTGTCAATCTGATCCGTGAAATGCGTTTTGACAATCCAGGGAAGCAAGTTATTTACTTCACAGATGGTTAGTTTGTTATATCAAGTTTACATAATCTTCTTTTAGATGTTAAAATGAGCTCCATAGAAAATTTTGTAACTCATCACACTGGATTATCATGTGCTTACTTCAAATCAGATGAACAACAGATTAGAAAATGTTTTTCTGATTGGTTATCTGTTTTACAAAAATACGATGTAATCCTGTTGTCACCTTGGCTAATTCCGCTTATTATCACACTGTCTTCAATTAATTTTTTAGTTAAGTTCATTCATCAGGTAAGCCTCCATGATTTTAAACACTGGATTAATATGATAAACTTCTTGTACAAGAATTAATGCCTCAGTCAAACTTTACATTCCTGTTGTATCTTCTTGAATATTTGCTAAGCTTCGAAAAGTTTTTAGCACCGAATGCCCTAATTCCCTATGGTGCTTGCTGTCAAGTTTGACTTCTGGCTGATATTTTCGAGAAAGTTATCCAGAACAATATTCTTTGCTCAAACTTTCTTTTGTCCTCTGAATTTCTTGACGGGAATTTCCGCCATACTTCCTAAAAGTCAGGTCACGAGTTTTAATCCACTCATTGGTGCTCACAAATCTAAGTAGTATTAAAGCTCGAGAATATCAAATCGGTGTGTCGTTAAGTGCACAAATCTCTATGTATTCATTGAGTTGCATTCTAAACCGCAAGTGTTTACCGTAGTCTCTATTATTTATTTATTTATTCTGAAGAGGCATGACTATTTGTTCAGGAATTAGTCTATGATCTCGAAATAAACAAGTGAGTAATGATATGCGAAGTAAGGCAATTTCTTCTTTTGTACACTTCATCATAAGTAGCCTGAAAATAATGCCCCCATTGTAAAAAATTATGTAGATGGAACTAGACTAATGAAGACAGTTAGATGATTTTCAATGTGGGACTCGTCACAAACCAAGTTACTTGACCAGGTATGAACCAGGGAGCACTGGGTAGGTGTTTCATCCTAGTTTAACACTCCTAAGCAATATGCACCCATGATCCCATCGGTGATCGAACCCGGGGTCTTCAGGCTATGGGGTTAAACTCGTTAACTATGCAACCACTTGATCAGAATTTAATAACTCGTAAACTATAATTTTGTTAGTTCATGACATAATGTCACTGCTATCTAATGCCTTCAATGGGAATCCAGTTTGCCTTGATACAGTAGACCCCAGTAACATCGACTTCTCTTTACAACTTCAGGATATCCGTCAAGTTGCAGCCAATGAACTAGTGACTGCTATTTAGATTATCGATTTTTGTAGGGATATGGATTGTTTTCAATGTAACCTGTAGATCTCGGGTCTAATGCCTGGTGGGCTTGCAGGTGCGTATTGTTGAGGTGTCTCAAACTAAGGACAAAACAGCTATCTATTACTTCTTGGTTTTCATTTATTCACTAACTGGTGTTCATGACGAAATGTACATTAAAATTAATCCAAATCCCCAAAAAATCCCATAACCTACTTATATGTCTCTTTTACATTAATCTGTTCAACATACTTCGGTAAACGATGCAAATCTATTGCCTCATTCTCCACAACTCTTTGTCTTTATGATGATGGTCACAGTTTTCCAACTTCTTCACAGACAATATTTGCAGGTGTACATCATCAAATAGCCAGAATTAATTATTTGTAATATAGGTTTATATTGTTTGCTTTAATTAGCCATGAATCAGGGTTACTATTTTTTCTTCATGTAGATTAGGGGTTAAAATTGACATATTTCTGTTATAAATTGTGGACTGCTTTACACTAACAATACTCAGATGACAAATGTGATTAAGATTTTCAGATTTTGTTTGCCGTTTAGTGATGGATTTGAAAAATTAAAAATTAAAATTACTCCCTACTTTTCGTTTGTGTGAATAAATCTACTTGTATTAATAAAGATAATAAAATTGCAAAAGTTTTTACCGATAAACGAATATTTACATTATTAATCACATATATGCTACTGTTACATTTTTATTTTTGTAAAAAAAGCTATGGTTTCCTAACCTAAACAGCTTAATACAATTCATAGATTACCGGATTTGAAATTCATTCTGCTTAGAAAGAATTAAATTAAAGAGATGGGCAATATGTAACCTAACTTTTATTATGTGATACAGCTTATTTGACTTCACAGGTTGTGTTGGCATGTTTGGCATGCGATTTGCTCCCACTAAATGTAAGATGAGGCTACAGGACTGGACTACATTGACTCTTAGCTTAGAAATAGGTAGTGAAGTAGTTGGTGGAGTGTGACCACTTCACTTATTTGGGAAGTTGCATCAGCCCGAGCCAATGGGTTGATCACTGACGAAATCTCAGCAGGGATACAGAAGGCTAGTTTCGCATATGCCAGTTTACGCCGTTTCTGGCTGAATGTCGACCAAAGGATGTGTGCATTGTTCAGCAGTTCGATCCGTCCCCCTTTATGGCTGTGAGACCTGGCTATTGAGAGTGGAAGACATGAAAAGCCTGGTTCGCTGTCTTTGATCATAGGTGTCT